TATATAATTAAGTAAACTTATGATCTCTTGATAAAATATTATTACCACTGCATCACACATTATTAAATAATTATAAATTATTGTTAGGTAGAATGAAATATATGCTTTTCATAAAAGTGAATTCAATGTTATTCTCTGTATTCATTATATAACACCAAGTGTTATTGCTTATTTCGTTCCGTCTTAGTGACTTTCTCATTATAAAGTTGAAGTACGGCAAGCGTCACGAACGACATTAAACTAATCTTTAAAAGATGGAGATGACAGCGCCCAAGGCGGGCGGTAAAGATTTGTGGGAAAAGTTTTGCAAAATTGAGACCACGCGAGGCTTGATGAGCACCGTGATTTATGCTCTTCATTTCTCAGGTGAGACCGCGAGACCTTATATTAAAGAACGACTGCAGAAAAGTTTCACTTCCGCATTCTGCATCAGCGACGCAGAAATCATATCGTCATTATGCTTGGCATTGTTGACGGTGGTAGCGTGATTTGTGATAGCATGATTTGTGAATTATTTTCTAACAACAACAACAGATTTTTTGATAGATTGATAGAAAGAGAGTATATGTGCATATCATTTGCTAAAACTTATTAACAAAATCTCTGCCATAGGTATCTTGAAATTAATAAAAGTTTACGTATTATTTAGCTGTAATTTTATTTATAACAAAATGTCTAAATTTCAGAAACAAATTAAAATTTTTTATCTATAAAGAAATAATATCAAAAATACACTATCAAAGAAATCAAAGATGTTATGCGTTAAAAAATTAATCTTAGGATATTGCGAGTACTCATGTATTGATTTGGAAACCTATATTCTGACAAATGAGCGATAACTGCATGAATTATGCAATTGCTTTGGCAAGGAAAGTTCGCGTTAGTCGTATCGCCGACATATAGAAATTGCAAAACGGAAAAATATCGCACGGTCGTAAAAAGAATCATCGATACTAACCGGTGAAAATAGCACCCGGCAGCGAAGCGCAGATAGTCAAGTACACCAGCAATATTCCTCGAGCTTGACACACCTTCTGGCAGTAATCCAGCTTTCTCCCGCTCGGTAGGCCACCACCGATTCTTCTTGGCCCCTTCATCGTGCCGCATAGTTTTCGTTCCAACCACGTAAACCGCGCGCGTTACACCCGGATTAGAGCGCGAGAAGTTTAATAATGCTTAACGCACGTGCTTTCTCCTCTTCCTTCCTTTCTTACTTACTTACTTCCTTCCTTCCTTCCTTCCTTCCTTCCTGCCTGGCTTTCGATTCTCGCACACGTGACGCGAGATTTCGTAACGATCTTAACGCGCGTGCCGCGGATGCGAACTGCATTCATTAATAGGATGGGATTGTATCGGGCATGGCGAACAGTTGCATTGTACACGCGGCCAGCTTACGAACGATACACGCGAAGTAATCTTTCTTTCTCACAATACAGTTTGTTACTGTAGCACTTTTATTTTGTGTTACACGGAGAAATTATACTCGTAAATTAATCCACTGAACTTTTGGCACAATCGAAATTATATCACAAAAATTAACTTTTCCACTTTACACGTAAAAAGCGTTTAATTTCTTTTTTGATTGTGATTTCTGTACGGTAGTAGTTTGTGTGTTAACAATAATTCATTATCAAAACCTAGAAATTTTAATTAGAAATATTATTTTTATCTGCATCGTAAAAAATATATTAACGTTTTTCATAGATACTGATTTGATTATGACAATCTTGCAATCGTAGGAATCAGTAATCGGTCGAAATAATACGTAGTGCATTTAAGATATATTATTAATCGAGATTGGATTCCAGATGCATCTTTTATCATGGCAGATAATTGAAATTCATCGGTATGACGCGATAGAGACGACGCGATGCGTGGAACGTGGCGTAAGTTACCGTACACTTTTCGCAGTGATAACTAATTAACGAACTTCCGTCTCGCGATAGTACCTCAAACCGCATCATTAATGCTAAATTTAACGCGCTGTCACTCATCCAGCATAGTAAGATCTGGCAGCATGATAAATGGAATCCGTTTATGCGATTTCAGCATGCCTCTGGCATGCGATACTAACAATAAGATTCGGATATGCGATGTATTGTACCTGCCCGCTCATATGAATGCATTACATTCGTCTATTATAAATTTTGGCAGTTAATTTTCGCGATTATTCGCGTTTCGCACAATAAAATGGATCAGCATGCAGTTAAATGGCGGTGAAACAACCATCTTAATTTCTGTATTATACCATCATTTAAAATGGATAACAGTAATTTACACGGCATTTGCCAAAGTAGTTTTACAATTATTCCCTTTATATGATTACATAGATAACAAAGACTGTATTAGCTATATAATTTTCCTAAAGAAATGTTGAATTTATTATGAATATTTAAGACAGAGTTCCATTCGCCACGATAAAAACTACTATTTTAAATGACTAAATTAATTTATGATGACTAAAGATTGGGAGGATGAAGCGAAGAGACCGATCTTTGTTTCATTAAAAGTATCCTCACGCGGTTTATATTCTTTATAATAAGGAAGCAACGAAGACATTTATGAGAGGAGTTGGCTAAGTTTAATATAGATTAAATGAGTGAATCAACCTAATGCCAGCTGTTTCTAGTAAAGATCATAAATTCATTTTTACTGATATTTATAATGCGACTTTATCATATACTTGCTAAAATAATATTACTTGTTTATTATAAACTTTTAATTCCATGAAGATTTCTGATATATAATAAATTACGCAATAACATATCTGATTAATACAATACGTTCCAAAGACAAATTGCACACTTAATGCTCGCATAGCCAAACAGAGAAACGTGTTGTCATGTATGCTTAGATATTTTTTATAGAGTAATTATAATTTTGCGACATATGTTATTTTTCCGTAATTAATAATGTCAAGCTTAAAACAGGATCGATTGTCAATCATTGTAATCCTAACGTAATAATAAATTGCTATGTATTAAATTTTGTTCAATTTTAATTAAAATGTGTAGCTATTTCTGTATTCAGTAACAACGTTACTGAATTTTATCCGCATGTAGGTTAATTGGGGGCGGATGGATCGTGGAAACAGCGCGTTTCACCTCTAACTATGCTTCAAAACAACCTCGTTAATTTCCATCTAAAAGTCTTGATTTTCCGCTAATGAACACATTTCTGGTCAAAGACTTATTGATCCCCGGCTGATACAAAAAGCAATACAGTTGCGCTACAGGAGAGTAAATTGATCCTGTTCAAATTAAACCGCAGTTAGACACAATGACAATTCTCCATTAATTAGTTCGTCAGATGGCTTTATAACGGCACGTCGTCGTCATCATTATCATCATTATCATCGTCTTCAAGACGTCTCTACGTGTCGGAGGGTTCAGAGAATTATTTGCCATGGTATGGAAAAAAATACTTTCTTTATGTCTCACGTTAAAGTAAATGTGTAGAATAGTTCAATAAAAAAAATGCATTGCGATATGATAGAATTTATTTTACGTCATAAAACGTGACCATTCTCACGTCTGCGATTCAAACGTACTTACAGATAAAATATTCTCGAAATAAAATTTTCATTTTAGATTTTATCGCGAGAGAGAAAGAAATTACTCTTTCAAAACTATTCATAAATAATATATTCAATAAATAACAACAAAAAATTTGGAGATAAAATAATATCATTTTTAATTAAAAATAGTGGTACGATGGTCAGCTTGGTGAAAAATCTAAATTTTGGTTTAAATTTTTGGTTAGAGATAGAATAACTGTTTTTTTTTTATCAATAAAAATGTGGAATGGTATTTTGCGAGTTGCAAGTTGCAATATCTGGAATGTAACGTTTAATTTTGACTGTTTCGATCGAAAACTCGGGGACACGCGGCTACAAAAAGCATGCCGGTTTGAAAATATCACGACGTAATTTTATGAGAAATGTGTCGAACTACATATAAAATGACAAACCCAATATGAGAAATCTGCATGGTAGAATAGAATTATTATAGCTACAATAATTGAATGCATTATATGTGTTATCGTTTTTTCCATCACATTATTAAAATAAATTTTGTTTGTAAAACGTCAGTTAATTTATAAAATAATAATAAAAATTATATAGATATATATTTCGATAAATAAAACGCGCATACAATATTTATGTTAGCAATTGTGACAAAATGTATAATCCCTCAGGAGCTCACAGTCGTGAATACAAGCTTCGCAAATCCGAGGTACCCGAGCGACCCAACGCTTGAGGGTTTTTTAACCAGACCACCCAAGTCTTCTAAGAATTTAAATAAGAAGAAATAATAATATACGTGTTGTTAGTGTATGTGTATGTGTGTGTGAGCGCAATGTCCATATTTAAAATATTAGTATTAAAATTCTTAAATGTTTCAAATCATATTTTCTTCTTTCATCTTTCTTATTTACGATACATTAGTTTTTTAATTGATTTTAAATATATTTATAGAAATAAACAAAAGAAAATTACTTTTTTATATTCTGTACATATATATCTTATTTTTATCTAGAAATATTATTATAAATAATATATTTACTCCATAATGGGAATTGTATTTTCAAAAAAAAACAGTATACCAAAAATATAGAATTCATAAACCACTGCGGATTTTACATACTCGCATATAACTTGGAAGTTCACGTCGCAAATTAGTGAAACGGTTACAACACCGAGCTATTCGTAAAAGTAATATTTTTGGTTGCAAACATGCATAACTGCTGCATCTAATCTTGTTCTAGCATCTCGCACTATAATAAAATCTGTAAATTTCATATATTCGCAAAGTCTACAGCTTTATAAAATCATCAAAATGTTTTTCAAAATCAGACATTTCTCACAAACGTATAAAAGTATATCAAATATCAACTTAAACAAAATATATATTTTCTACTTTTTTTCAGTTAGCTTTTATGTTATCTTGGATATTTTTCGCAAACTCTTAAAACCGTGTCTAGAAAACGTTTGTCCTCAGGGTATGTGTGTGTCTGTTAAACATGGAAATGGCGCCGGGTCAATTTTAAGATGCACCGCGATGCAGACATAAAGGGTAGGTGCCGACCTCGCGGACAATGGCAATGCTGATGCAAGACAGCAGGCGCAAATTATCCCTGGGAGGTATTATTAATTAATGCCCTTGTTAGGCTATACGGAGCTTGATGGGGAACGAGCGAAGCAGCGAGATGCGGGCTGGAGATAGCAAGCGAGTGTGTTGCACAGGTGTAGAGGGTGGGACATAAAACTGAGAGCACGTAAAACGTTCGTGTGTATAGCATATGTACGTACGTGTGCGCACACGATAACATGGCGTGAATGTACGACATGCAGCGTACGAGCACGCTGGGAATAACGAAATTTTCAGGACGAGACAAATTAAAATTCAAATACTTATATGACATCATCAAGCGAGAGAAGGCTCACATGAATAAAACCAGAGGAAAAAAATAACCGAGTAATTTTTGTGAAAAAGCAACGTGAATAAACAAAAATGGATTTTCTCAAGGAGCAGAAGAGAATTTTAAGTTAGAAGAACATGAAGATATATAGGACGCGTCGCAGTAGAAACAGAACGATATATCGCGTGTAAAAATAAATTAAAAGTACAAAATAAATTTTTCTCATGCAAGATTTAGTTTTCGAAAAAATGTGTAACTACGAAGATTGAAAAATCAATAATATCTTGCATACCTTTTCAAACACACTTGGACTATATCAAATTTTTTCTCAAAATAAAGGAATATTTATGTCCAACAATTCATTTGGTCTTATTTTAAAAACAAATAAATCTTCTTTCGATTTTCTAAGTTTCACAGAACTATTTAAAAACGGCTGGAACTGCGAGATCTCGCGATCTTTACATCCACATGTTATTTATACCGAATTCATTCCTAAGAACACACGTATACTCGACGCTGGCAACGTTCTCCTCTCCTTTCTCTTTCCTCGTCACCGTCCTACATAATTACCAAACTTAATTAAAATTTTGGAGATGAGAGAGAAAGCGAAAGAGATAATGATGCCACAATCGTGGCTGTGGGAGATGGGACTGTCGACACATTTAAAGATGTATTAGTTCCAGGAGAATGAAGCTTGAAACGACGCACGTTAAAACGTGTGTCGCGGGTCGCCCGTACCAGCGAATGTGATGACGAAAAAGGGCTCGGCGATTTGCGGACGGTTCTAGTGGAGTAATTTTAGCAACGGCGGTTCAGGTGACTCCTCCACGAAAGGACGAAACTTTTTCGACATCCGTTTGCCTTTTTATTCTTCGTGGTGACAGGGAATGGTGCGGCTTTGTGGTACGAAAGGTCGATGTTGTCGACAATATTGGTTTGCCTATTTCACTTTGCAGTATTGAAATTTTCACCGAATGTCAAGCTTTGTGTTTGTACACTTCTTTTGGTAGGCATTTTGAATTTTTGCTTAAATAAACTGTATGGTACACTCTTGCAAATTTAATGCTTCTATTCAGATATATTGACATTCTTGCTTGCATGTAAAATAAAATAATATATGGAATAAAATAAAAGAGAGGCTATACACTTTTCTTCAATTTACGATACTGTATTATATTTAGCAAAAGAGACATCAACGCATTGCCTACAGATCAAA